AAAAAATGCTTCTTCCTTTTTTCTGAAAATTATTGTACTAATGTTTAAGTCTTAGTTCTATCCTAATCTGGACTCAGTGCTATGTATCTTTTGTGTGCTGCTATGTATCCTAATCCTAATCTGGACTCAGTGCTATGGATGCAGTCTTTTTTTATTTGCTGCTTGTGCAGTCTTTTTTTATCTGCTGCTTGTACTGTTATATTTAACATATGTATGCAGTCTTTTTTTTTTCTGCTGCTTGTACTGTAATATTTAACATATATATGCAGTCTTTTTTTTCTACTGCTTGTACTGTTGCATTTAAAAGTCTGCTACTAACATTATGTTGCAACATGTTATGTGACAGGAGATGCAGTCCTTCAATCATCGGACGGATAGGCGACCAAGATCAAGTGATGTCTCACATGACGTTGAGAGTCAGCCCCCTGCAGGAAAGAGGATAAGGGGCCAATAAACCGCATAAGCCCTGCAATGGTCAGATAGCCATAATACCTGAGGGTGACAAGTATGTGCATGCTGATTTTTTTCTCTTAGTGTGGACAATGCTAGCGTTAGAACTTGCTAATCCTTTTATGGTATACTTGATTTTCCTCATTTTCCTGTACACTTTTGTTTTGGAAGATAGTTTTGCTTGGGTGAAGTAGCATTGCTGAAATCTCATATGTTGATTCAGCTAAATATTCTGCAATACATGTCAGCTGCTGATAAGCTTTAGAATTTTATAGGATTGTGCTTGTTTCTAATTCTAGCCTTTTTATGTTGTACAAGAATGCACTACTATTATGAAAAGGAATGTTCTTCTGTGCATATAAGCAAACTTTATAGTCAAAAGTATTTGAAAACTAGTTACATTCTGATCTGAAAAATCACAACGTTTCAGTCAGTAGGCATGCTGACAATGAATTTTGGCATTTCCAGGCAGTGTTGACAGTGCTTGAAGGCAGTGGTGATTTGCGGCAATCATGTGAACTACCTAAGGGTGCGTGTCTGCATACTCTTTGTTCAAGACTATTTTCACTTATCACTACTAGCTGTGTAACTGGTCTATAAAAGAATTGTTTGAAACAAATGTGCAGATGTGGAACACTAACAATTAGTGTTGCCGGGTCCAGATGTGCAGTAGCAGGGCAGGTTGGTTGGCAGCTCCTAGATGTACTGTGGCAGCATGGCAGCTTCAGGATGTGGTGCGGCAGCGCAGAGGATCTGCACTGATAGCGCGTGGTGCAGCAAGGGTGGTGAGCATCATCCTATACCCTCCCATCCCTGGCTCTTCTTGCTTGTATCTGCAAGTTATAGAAACTCTGATCGTTCCAACTCAATGTTCTTGGCACTGATCCTACTAGAAGACAACTAGCTGTGCCAAGCTGTTATTTAAAATGAGCAGCTTTCTGATGTACTCGTGGGGATTAAATCTGAACATATATCTTGGGATTCTATAACTCATGTTCTGTGGTGGGTGGGGTCTGCAATTTGTATTTGCCTTATGGTTATGTTTGTTGTGACATGAGTTGTAAATTTGGGGCAGTTAGGCTAATATAATTGGTTGTTGCTGTTGCAATTTTTTGCCTGTAGAACTGAGTTACCATTTTGCTGAACTGACATGCAGTTAACTGCTAGAATAGTTCCTTGTTTTTCAGTCATTTGCAAACTGCATGGATTTAGCTTGTGTAAATTAAAACAAACTATGTACCTGCCATCTTTGTAAATTAAACCAATTTTGACACAAGACTATTACTTACAAGTGAAGTACGCTTGTGTAAATTAAAACAAACTATGTACCTGCCATCTTTGTAAATTAAACCAATTTTGACACAAGACTATTACTTACAAGTGAAGTACACTATAAACATTAAAGAGTAACTATATCTGCTCATCAGCTGCTTCTACTATTGCATTTCAATTGTTAGGATTAATCCGTACATGTATATAGTTTTCATAATTTGTGAGATCTAGCCAGTTAAACTTTTGTCCTACAGGAACATTTAACAAGCTCCCTTAGTGCCTTATGTATGCATCTCATGTGGGATTGGGTTGTGATTAGCAAATATGCAACTAATTTATTTGGGATCTGAACTACTGTTGTTATGTAGGCTAAGGTGCTTCATTGAAACAAGGTCTGCTGCAGAGTTATATGTTGCAGAGTTATATGTGAAGTCCAATTAACTACTTGAGATAATTCCTTGTTTTGTGAAATTTGAGCTCTGTTATTTCTAACTGTAGCGTGCTTTTGGTAGACAACACGTTTAGTACATGTTTTTTGCTTGTAAAAAGCTTAACTCAGCACAAGTTATGCCTGAAAACAGTTTTATCAGATTTTTCATCTACCAATACCAATCAGTTTTCCATAAGCATTATGACATGATCTCTCATGAATTGTTATTTTTATCTTGTTTTGAATGTAGGATATGGAGATGAATGATGTAGCAGCTACTCTGTATCACTGTCCAAGGGCTTGTAGGAAGTAGTAATGGCTAAACTTCTATTTCCTACATATGTTAGAGGCATGAACTAGCATTGCAACTTGGGTCTGCGTACTTTATTTTGCTACCTGTAGTTCTGTTGGGAGGTACATATGCCATCAAAAGTGCCTGTTAGGAGTTAGCACTTTTAACTTGTGCTACTTGTTAGGAGTTAGCACTTGTAACTTGTGCTGCCTGTTAGGTACCTAACTAGAAGGCTAACTAGGAGGCACTATTATATATCTTTGTATTTATGAACAACTTGAATGATGTTCTAAGATTATGTTAGAGGAATGAATGTTATGTGCAGCGTGTCCCCTTCTCCGCCCGCAGGTTTGGTTCACGACGCGACGCGACCTTGCGTGTGGGTGGGTGGACGCGTGGAAGGAGGAAAAGCGGTTTGTTGTTTCGAGCTCAAAACGGCTGGCACTGTCACGGCGGTGTCACGGATTATAGATTATTAGCACTAAGAGAGCACCGGCAAATCTCCATCGCCCTCCGGTGCATGAGAAATGAACCTGCGTGGTTAAAACAGGGTAGAACTACAACTACATAGGGCTCAAGTTGAGGGAATTGCAAAGTTGCAACGTGCAATGCAATTCTCTCTCAAAACGGAACGGAAGTCTGCGTTGTATGTGTAATTTCAACCTTAAAAAAACAGTGCATGCCTTGTTTAGAATGGTGGAACCATGTACTACTAGGTCGCCAGTGGATTTGGTTGTTCCTAGTACCTTTTGGATTACGAGAGGAACACCTACGCTACAATTCCACTTTTGACAAGTAATAATAACTTGGAATGGTGTATAAAACTTAGAATGGTGTAATGAACTTTAAATCGAATGCTCTACGTAATAAATAGGTAAATAGTCTGAACGCAATCGTAGGGTCAAGTCAAGGACAGCATACAACACTAGTGTCTCTGAAGTTTGGTCAAACTTCTCTAGTTCTCCAGATTATACCACATATTATGTCATATATGGCATTAGCGGCACCAAGAAAAAAACAAAAACAAATGTTCATAATATTCCTAAACAAATTTGATCTTCACCTCGACCCGCCGGCGCGTGCCAGTACGAGCCTGCTAGCTGCGGCTGACATCTAAGGCAGACACAGCACAGCGAAGGACATCTAGGCGGACACGGCACAGCGAAGCGCTCGATGTGCCGGGGCCATGTGGATAAGCAAGAGATGATAGGTATGAAAACACCGAAAATAGTCGGAAACAGGAAAAGCAACAGCAGCGATAATGCAGCAGCAAGGAAGCAAGCAAACAAGAAACAGCTCAGTTTTCACAAACCCTGCCAGAGGGCCCGGGGGCAAGCATAAAACACGGCAACCAGGATTTTTGCAACCACCAATCCATTAGTATCCAGCACAAGCATCGAAGACGATGGATAGCCTTACAGTAACCTTACTGTAATACAAACTTTTTCAGAACACAATTGGAAAGTTCACTCAAAACATGTTCTTAGACTCAAAAGGGACATGGACAAAAAAGAAAATTTTAACATCACAACAAGTCTACACCACAAATTATGGGCTTATGGCACAGGAACTATTCATTCACTGCAATAAGGCTGTATCAACTTAACCACAAGCGCAGTGAAATATAAAAACATTTTTAGGAGTTCTCTAATACTCCCTCTGTACCGAAGATGTTTCGGTTTTATTAGATTCAACTTAGATATACACTATGTCTAGATGCATAGTAAAAGCAATGTATCTAGAAAAGCCAAAACATCTTATAATTTGGAACGGAGTATTTAAATAAATTTTCAATGGAGATATACACTCCCAAGGTTATTTCTTCTAATATTCAGGGTACTGTGAAACCAATTTCCATCAAGACAAGGGGATAAATGAGGGGAAACAGCACTTCAAACTTAAAACAGCTTTTGTTAAATTATCCATGACAACAATAGTGCTGTAGTTAACTAATACAGCAAGCTAATAAGTGTGAACAACACAAACAATACTTGCAAAGCAATAATTCAATGTCACTAAAGTACAAACAACTTATGTGAACAGTGAACTGGACAAAAGCTGATTTAACTACTAGGGGCGTGTTACTGAACATTTGCCCATACATTTCAAGAAAAAGGGAGGTTAGAAAACAAGTCAAACATACTGTGTTACCACTTAGTAGGACAATAAAATGTGGGTATTAGTGATACTAGAGATATTTGGGATTTAACCAAATCTCAGAACACTGTCGTCCACTAATATTGACAAAGCGGACCACATTGTCATTACAAATATATACTCTTTCACATATTCCACCACATCAAAATTTCAAGCAACGAGCACAAGGCCCTGTTGCATGTTAACAGGGTACCCTTTTCTAGTTTAGCTCAACTTATAAAAGAACTACAAAATTCATGTTAAGTTTGGTAACAAATGTACCTTGGGATATCAGTACATCCAGCAAAGTCTAATCATCAAGGGAAGAATCCACCTATATGCATGAAAAGAATGATTGTAATCTATTGCAAACAGAAGAGTTGTATCAAAGTAAGGACAACACATGAAACACATACCATATCAGTACAGGGCAAGCGATTCAATGAAATCAGAAACTGGGGAATTTATCTCAATTTCTGCAAAGCAATAACAAAATTAAATACATTCTTATTTTAAGGTACAATTACATAATAAACTCGTTATAAACAATGACAAAAACAATTTATAGCCCATTGTGTAACAAATCAATGGAGCTCAGCCTCTAGCTGCCTTGCAGGCAACCAAGAATTGAACGCATAGTATTTTACAGAAAGATAAAAACATGTGAACCATCATTCAAGAGGGAACCAGTGATACATATCAGCATAAATACCTGTACTGTTGTCATTGAGATATTTTGAGAACCAACTTGGATAGTAGGCTGTCATGAAACCAAGCATGCTCACTGCAGAAAACCTGGCAACAGATTCCAACTTCTTCGATTCTGTGTCAACAGCAAGCACCCAACCCTTGCTGTGCCAAAACATAAGCTTGCACATCAAGTACATAACGCTGTTAAACTCACACAAAGTTGGGAGGCCCACCGGCATTTTCTTCAAGTTTGGTTTGCCATTGACACATAGCTTATCAGGCAACAGATCAGACCACCCATGAAAATCTTCAGAGGCTGTTACATCCTCACTGCTGACCTCGTGTGCCCTTCCCCACTCCGTCGAATCAAGCTTCCTGCTCCTTGTCACAGCAACCCATTTGTAGACAAGTTCATCCTCATCCTCATCATCCTCATCGGCATCATACTCCACCTCAACAAATTTGATCACCTCACCACAGCCAATGACATCCCTGAAGAATGCTGAGTCACCTTTATATTGAACATTGCCCCGCGTCGGTTCAGGCATTGGGATATAGTGAAGCCTGGGGTCATCAGAAAGGATATCGCAGAACATGATGCCCCGCAACAAATCGACCCAGCCCAAGAGTGAACCTTTCAGCGGGATCACCTTGGTTGGTCTGAAGCCTAGAACATCGAGTTGGTTCTTAGTAACCCATTCAGACGGCTCCACCGGCGCCACCCTGGTCGTCCACGCCCCAGTCCTGGAGGAGAAGACAGCCAGATTGAACACATCCTTGACACATCCTTGTCCCAGTACAGAGCAGCTAACGCGAAGTGGTTGGCGCCGCAGGGCACAATCCCGGTGTTGCCGAGGCCCGAGGGGTAGGGGCGTAGGGCTCGGGGTCCGGGATCCAGACGAGCGAAGGGTCCTTGGGGTGGGCGCGGTAGATGAAGTAGTCGCTGATGCCGACGCGGTCCATCAGACGTCGAAGAGGATGAGATCGTCCCGGGAGAAGATGACCGCGGGGTTGTGGCTGAACTCGTTCTCCCTGCCGGGGCAGTGAACTCGGAGGTGGGAGACAGCCGGCGGGTCGGCCGCGAAGAGGGAGACCTGGATAGGGCTTGCCGTCGCTGGTCTGGCCGTGCACGACGGTCGCGTTCCGGCGGTCGGAGATGTAGGCGCGCCTGGCGAGCATGATCCAGTCGGGGTAGCGGTCCCCCATCTCGGGAAGCTCGGGGGCAACTTCGGCTTCTCTCATGGATTCTTGAATGGCGATCCAGTCGATGTCTCCCATGGCCATCGGCTGCGATAGATGGAGCAATCAGAAGGATCCCGCTCGCGATCCCCTCACCCTATTCTCTCTCTTTCGGGAATGGTTGCCTCCCGTCTCCCATCGGCGTCTCGGCTGCCCCGGGCTGCTTCGATTCAGATCTATATATAAACCCTAGGCGGCTGCAGCCCTAGCTATTCATTTTATTTTGTGGGCCCTTTCACGCATGGGCCGTCAGGGGCAGCCTCCTGATTCGATAGCAATTAGCCCATAAATCCTGCCTTCAAAAGCTGGCCAGCCACCATGTCACGTCACGTGCTTTTCAAGGCCATTCGATCGGGCACGCGAACGGCCCAGATCCTTCCTTGCCATCCCCGCTCCGTCTCCACAGCCCAATCCCACCCCTCCCGCATTATGGAATTTTTGCATTTTGGTCCGCTTTGAAAATATTTTTTACAAAAAGACCTATGCCAAAACGTTTGCTGAAAATAGATCATTTTTAGGCGTCTTAGAACATGACGCCAAGGTACGAGGGTCGGCGTCGACTGACACGACGCCGAGGTCTTGCCACGTCACGGACGACCCCGGTCGACGGCGACACGGTGGCGCATGGGTCCGACACGTCGGCGTTGTGTCAGCCAACGCTAAAGGCCCAACCTCGGCGCTGCGGGACTACACGCCGAGCTATTGGCATCATCCGGCGCGCGGCCCAGGCGGCCCAGCAACGCTTCGTGGCCCAATATCTCGGCGCTGGGTCACTTAACGCCGAGCCACCAGACCTCGGCGCGGCCCAACTTAACGCCGAGGTCTGGACTCTTGAAGCCACGCCGAGGCCCCCTTCTTCTTCCTCCCTCGTTAACTATCGAAATGCAATGAATTAATATCAGAGTGATGTACTGCATTTCGATAAAGTGACAAACCACAGGTGTAGCCTTTTCAGATAAAATGACCAGTCATGGTTGTAGGCTTTTCAGATGAAGCATCTAGCCTTTGCAGATTCAATAAATGAGTACGCACACAAGTTTTTTGTCAAGTAGCATTCATGGTGAACCTACCTTCATCTCTATATATAGCGCTCCATGTCTTGCTCCACATTCATACATCTTGTTTTCTGGTTTAGTTTTAGCAAATGTCGAGCGAAGGTTCCTCGAGTGGAAAGGGTTTCGGTGGAGGAAGAGGAAAGGGGGTGAGGAAGGGACCTCCAATTGTGTGGGAGGGTTCTCTGGGTCCTGATTCTTTCGAAGAACCAATAGAGGAATTTCCTTTGGAGAGGAAGAGTGACTTTCACCCGTGAGAGACCTCTTAGATCATACGACAAGCGCATTGAAGATTGGCCAAAATGCCGCCACGGTTTGGATTGTGTTGTGCAGATGTACAACGACTGTGACAGTGGAGGCCATCGTTTCTTCAGATGCCCGCAAGGATTTGTATTTCCTTTGAACTCTCTCCTTTTTTAGATTTGTATTTGGTTTGTAGTAGTACTTATTGGTAGATGGGTTTTTAGGATTCAAGCTGTTCAGATAACTATGGTTTCACTAGATGGGTCGACCCTCCTCCTATCTATCCCGATCAACAGTACATCACATATCTACAGGGACGCATCTTTAACCTAGAGTATGGCCCTAGAAGTGGTAACAGGGACAAGTCAGACGACGACAACAGCAATGATGTAGAGGAGGCACTATGCAATAATCCGTACTGCTAGTGCCCGTACCATAAGAAGCATGGGGCTCCTTCTCCACCGCCACCGCCACTGCCTCCGTCATTTGGTGGATACTGTGGGGAAGGCGCAACTCAGTTCAATATGTGGGACCATTATTAGGACCAACCTTTGTTAGTCAATTCGAATGTGGAATGCTTGTATGAGTTGTTCTTCTCAGTCCCCTAAGGCATGCTAGGTTTAGTTTGTAACATGTCATTGTTAGTTTTCATATGAGTGTGTAATCGTAGTACCTTTGTAACGTATGTATCACTTGTTTCTTTCAATCCCTAAGGCATGGTAGGTTTAGTTTGTGACATGCCATTGTTAGTTTTCATGTGAGTGTAATCATAGTGCATTCGCTATTTCATAAATTGCAGTTTACCTATCTCTAAGTTTCATGTACTATGGTTGATTCCGAAACTTAAAAAAAGATTTTACTCTCTCTAAGAATAGGAGATTGAAATCGAACATTACAAATAAGAATAAAAGAAATAATAAAAGAGTACCAAAAAAGAATAATAAAAAAAAAGAAAAGGAAAAAGAAATAGAAGAAAAAAAAGAAAAAAGAGAATGGCGTCGAGTCAGCCCACGCCGAGGTAAAAGAGAATGGCGTTGAGTCAGCCCACGCCGACACTATGGGCGCTGAGTCGGCCCATGCCGAGTTTGAACACCAAGGCGTTGAGTCGGGCCACGCCGACGTTTGGGCCACGGACGTCATCGATTCAGCCCACGGTCCTATCTCGACGTCAAATGAATAAACGCCGTTTCTAAAGGGTCGGCGTCAATTTACGACGCGCCAAGCTTGGGCACCTCGTCGCTTCGAACTAGCCGATTCCAGTATGCGCCAGGGGTCGGCGTTAATTGACTAAACGCCGAGGTGCCTACCATCGGTGTGTCTTGATTTGACGCCGAGCTTTGAGTACACAAAAAAACATAAATGAACATTTCAGTTCACAAGTGCACAAGTTGACAGAATTTCGTAGAATACAAAATTTCATAGAATACACATTCAACACTGGAAACATAGTGATATGCTTCATCAAACATAGTCCATGTCGTTACCACACCGACATACACATTGAACATCAAAACATAGTGATATCAAACATAGTCCAAACATAGTGCATACCATAAGATACATAGAACATTACATAAGGTCGCACAAAAGAAGCATATGACAAGGTCTGGAGCTTTTAGTTCGTTCCTTCTCCAATGCTCCTTTTCACCTTGATCTCTCTTTTTCCTATAATAGTAAATTTTAACAACTTTCAGCGGCTATTGAGCTAAGTTAGGAACAAAAAATGAGATGTAACTTAACTAGCATATCAAAAGATGTTCGTTTAGATATTGAGCTAATTGGTGTATGCTAAAATTTGAGCCAAGTACCTTAACGTGGATGGCGATGCGTAGCGCTTTTCCCTCCCAAACAGATAGGGTACACAGGTGTACACATCCCATCGGTCTCGAAGCGCCCTCTCGTGGGCGTCCCGTAACCGGAGGGGCCTTGAGTTCCTTAGGGTGCATCTTCAAGCCGGGACATGCCAATCTCATCATACTCATGCTCATAGTACTCTCCCTGTCCTTCATCATCTTCATCATCATAAGGACCATGTCCTTGACCACCCTCTACACTAGTTGTTGCACCATGTGAAGAAGAAGTCCCACCAACATATGCACCATGTGAAGATGAAGTCCCTCCAACATGTGCGTGAGAAGGTCCAAAGACTGGTCATTGTGGGACCGCCACATCCGGCACGCTCTACATCCAAGGCGTCAGACTACCTTTCGAGGCGATGCATGGCACGCTTTGCATTTTGAAAGCACTATTAGTAAGTGGGGTTGGTCACAAAACTATATAAAGATGTAACATCACTTGAATGACAGGAGGCTACCTGAATGTGCTGTCGTAACATGGAGGCCTCATCAGGATCGCCCACAGGAATCATCAATGCCCTTCCTTGCTCGGCCACTGTCCTCATTATCTCCGTGCTCTATGCAAAAAAAACAAGAATTTAAGTCTCTATCACAGTAAAGACCTCAGAGATGGAAATAGTTGTGTCACTTACAGCTCTGGCTAACACAGGGGCGATCTCAACTTGCCTGCCTTCTCGGGTAGCTTGGTCATATGGGTTATTGCCCTCATCCTCGCTCGCAATGTCAGCAATGTCTTGCTTCGTCCAAGCGGGCCTCAATTGAAGCCTTGTTCGTTGACCAAGCCAAACAAGGTAATCATCGAATGCCTTGTCACGATGGACGGCGTGGATGCCCATGTTGTTCTGCTCCATCAACATCCACTCATCAATGTAGCGCTGGTGCTCCAGCTGCCAGTTGGTGATCTTCTTATTTTTTTGTCTGCTGAACCTGCAAATTTTACACCATAGCGGCAATATGAAGGCCTACTCAATGATTTATTCATGTGAAACGAACAAAATATTGTATGTTACGTACTTGTGGAGCTACCAACTGGTGGAGAAATCCTCGGGCGGAGAATACTGTAGCCTACCAAACTGCCGTGCTACACGGTGAGGGAGATGGTACTCCACTGCATAGAAACATATAAGGGGTGTCCTCATCCTCCAGACGTCCTCGTCTGCCGTGCACAAGGAGCTCAAGTTGAGATCCGTGACTTGCCTCCACCGATATGGGCGCCATTGAACATGTACACAATGTCGTCATCAACCAGTCGATGCTCAATTTGTGCACATATCCTCGATTAGGCCCAAAGGGTGGGAAACTTACATGATGTGGCAAAAGGGTGTCCAGCTCGTTGGTGAAGCTGATGTACGCGTGGCGTGACACGTGGTAAGTTCCATGGGCTCGCTCGTAGAGGTGTGCCACGGTAGGGGCGACAACTATGTCTCCTTGAGGAAACCAAGGTTGTGGGGGATCAAGCTGATGCGGTCTCCCAACTGGAAGCCTCTTCCACATCCAAATCTACAAGAAAGAGTGGAAACTTGCATGTTAATCACTTTTGTTAAGAAAAAACATTGAATTGTAGTGGAAACTTGTACAACTTTGCTTTATTACCTGCAACAGTGTGATGCACCCTGACATTGTAGCATGCGCGCCTCCAGGACGGTGGCAAGCCTCGCAAAGCTAACGGTACAGGAAGGCAAGTATCATGGCAACGTCCTCGAGAGTGACCGTCATCTCCCCGCACGGTAGGTGAAAGCTGTGTGTCTCCGGACGCCACCGATCTATCACTGCCGTCAGCGCCGCTGGGTTGAAGGGTGGCGTGCCTCGACAACAAACACGAGCAACGGTAGCAAGGTTCGCCAGCTTCAGGAGGGGTGTGTACCTCTCGTCGTAGACCATGGTCGTAGAGGCC